CCCCCCCCAACATAATAATAGTCAGTTCCTACCCAGCCCCTTGTGTTGCCTTTCAAATCCACAAAGACCTATAATGCTTTATAATTTCTTACAAAGCACTGAAGCTCGCAGATACAAAATAAAACTTGAGCCAGCTCTGTAGAAATGCAGATTTGATAAGTAAGCCATCAGCCACAGCCCCAGGGAAGCAGGACATGACCTTTAGGACATAATAGGATTAACCCACCACCATCAAAATACCAAAAGGGCACACTGAGCCCCAGGTCAAAGTTCATGCCACAGGAAAAGGAACAACTCCAAAGACAAAAGTCCAGGAAGGTATAAAAACCCACCACTCCCAGCACCATGTGGTCAGCCACCCCAGAAACATGCTGCTATCACTGAAGTTTCTGGCAACTCAATAAACAAGAATCTTCTTTCTTAAAGCAGTCTCCATTTTGTTTATACCCGGCTTGGACTGGACCCTGATGAATATTTTTCTTTCAACATAATGATTTATCTTTAAACGTTTACATGCTTTTTAACAGCCTAGAAGCCTCAAACATTCTGAATCCCCTCAGAAAACGTGCCAGCATTTATACTACCGTGGTTCCCACTCAACTCACACACATTGTAAAACAGTCAAGTGCCAGGCTAAATAGTATTGCGTAAAAACATTTATTGGTTTTAGCATATATACTGTATATATTTCTGGTTCTCCAGAAGCTTCCAATGCTGCAGTTAGCTTTTTTGTCCTGATTCTCAAACGGTCCTCTTGTCTGGTTATGGAATGGGATAGGAAGCCATGTTGGTGATGCCGCATTGATTGGATCCTTGTTCCAAGAGCATGTATCCGTTGTCCCCCCAATAGCGAGACCAACTGCGAAGAGAAGCATGCAAGAGATTTATTTCAAAACTATGTAGGGCAGGGCCTGTTGGGAACTGGGTCACGCAAGCGGCAGGTGAGCACACGAAACTTTATGAGTGCATGCGCGGGAACTAGGTTGCACGTGCGAAACCATTCGCCACCTACCTGCTTCTGCTTCTGGTTCATGGGGCTAGAAAGGTTGGGGACTGATGGAATAGGGAATCATTCTGGCTGTGGAATTCTGGGAGTTGTAGTCCATGTGTCTTCAAGTGGCCAAGACTGAGACACTCTGGAATGGAGTGTTGTGTTGTGTTGTGTAGTGGCGTGGCGTGGAATAAAATAGAAATAGAATAGAATAGAATAGAATAGAATAGAATAGAATAGAATAGAATAGAATAGAATAGAATAGAAAATATGGAGTGGAGTGGAGTGCAGTGCAGTGCAGTAGAGTAGAATAGAGTAGAGTAGAGTAGAGTGTAGAGTAGAGTAGAATAGAACAGAACAGAACAGAACAGAACAGAACAGAATAGAATAGAATAGAGTTGGAAGGGACCATGGAGGTCTTCTAGTCCAACCCCCTGCTCGGGCAGGAAACCCTATAACATTTCAGACAAATGTGTGTCCAATCTCTTCTTAAAAACTTTCAGTGTTGGAGCATTCACAACTCCTGGAGTCAAGTTGCTCCATTGGTTAATTGTTCTCACTGTCAGAAATTTCTCCTTAGTTCTAGGTTGCTTTTCTCCTTGATGAGTTTCCATCTATGACTTCTTGTCCTGCCTTCAGGCGCTTTGGAAAATAGCTTAACTGCCTCTTCTTTGTGGCAATCCCTGAGATATTGGAAGGCTGCTATCCTGTCCCCCCTCGTCCTTCTCTTCATTAAACTAGACATACGCAATTCCAGCAACCGTTCCTTGTATGTTTTAGCCTCCAGTCCCCTAATCATCTTTGTTGCTCTTCTCTGCACTCTTTCTAGTGGCCATGAATGTAACACTCTAGAATAGTAGAGGTTGCCCTCTAGTTACCCCCCTGCCAGCATCCCCTTCCCTTCACTCACCTGTTCTTCACAATCCAGTACTTGGTGCTGTTGTATCCGACCACCAGCATAGCATGAGTCAACTGGGGGTCGCCACGCCAGGGATTTTTAAAGATACCTAGAGAAAGAGGAGGAGAAATCATACGGTAAAGCGAAAGCTCCGTGCTTCTTTGCCAGATCATCTGGATTTTGAAATAATAGGAAATACCTGTAGCTCGGGGTTTTAGATTTTGGCTGTGGTTTGTTTCTCCAAGCTTCTTTTAATATAATTCCTGAATGTTTCGTTAGCAAAATAGGTAACACCATCAGCAGGAGCTGCAAGTATTTCCTATTATTTCAAAATGATATTCCACCAAAGGAGCAGTTAACATTGATCTGGATCAGGGGTAGGCAACCTTGTTTGTTTTATGACTCGTGGACTTCAACTCCCAGAATTCCTGAGCCAGCCATGCTGAGGGGAAAGGGAGAGTTTTCCAAGCTGAGCCACGCTGGCTCAGGAATTCTGGGAGTTGAAGTCCACGAGTCATAAGACAAACAAGGTTGCCTACCCCTGATCTATCTATCTATCTATCTATCTATCTATCTATATCTATCTATCTATCTATCTATCTATCTATCTATCTATCTATCTATCTATCTATCTATCTATCTATCTATCTATCTATCTATCTATCTATCTTTCTATCTATCTATCTATCTATCTATCTATCTATCTATCTATCTATCTATCTATCTATCTATCTATCTTCTAGTTCAGGTGTAGGTGGTACCTGACTCAATAGCAGTAACTGTGAAAGGGACCTCAGAGTCCTAGTGGACAGTCACTTAGATATGAGCCAGCCGTGTGCTGCAGCTGCCAGTGCTAGGCTGCATTAACAGAGGGATAGAATCAAGATCACGTGAAGTGTTAATACCACTTTACAATGCCCTCGTAAGGCCACACTTGGAATACGGC